CAGGCCTACAGAATCCCTCCTCCCTGGCTCCACTGATGCCTGGCCCTTCTGATCCTGCCTGAATCGCCTCTGAACAGCTGTTGGTCACTGTAGAGCTAATCTTCATAAACCGAGGTATGCTACCAGCGATGTTCCCAACTACCAATGCGCGCAGTTACAAACTATAGAGAATTTAGTTTGCCCCAGTCTTGAAGATTCATGTACACTTAATGACCTTGAAACCAAAACACACCAAGTAAATCTTTGTGTGCAATATTGGTTGGGTGTAGGGTAGCGATCCGATGAGAAGGTTCCTGAAAAATTCTTTTTTTTTCCCAGGTTTCCGGGAGCAACTCAACCAGATAACGTCTTTCATCGACGGAGGAGCTGTGTATGGAACAAGCGATGAAGATCAATCTCAACTCAGACGTCGTGCACAAGGTTTGTTACAATTTCATTTCTTTTCTCATCACCACTTGAGCACACGTTACCATAAGCTCGTGTTATGTAAGTTCGTCTGGTAGACCATTGCTCCTGTAATTTTGGTTAGCCTATGCACTGTTTATTTATACTGGCCACCCGTAGTGTAGCATCTTAAATTACCAAATGTATTATGAAATGGAGTAAGTCCAACAATTATTTTAATATATTTTCTATTTATACCTTATTTTTATAGATAGAATCATTTAAGTAAATGCTCTGTTTATAATAAACAGTATTAATTACATTTCAGTCAGTTATGTGCCATGTGTGATACACGCTTAGGCGATCATGTATTTTTCGATACATGACTGACGAGGCAGATTTTTTTCCCGCAGTAGGTTGCCATTTCTTTCTGCGGTAGACCACTTGCCATCCAAGGCTATAGAACCCGGTCTGTCCGAAAATTTTCGTAGAAAATATGTGTCCTCCGGCAGGAATCGAGCCTGTGTCCTACACGGAAATTTGTTGTTTAAAAACAGTCATTTGGACTTTGCTAACTTTCTCTGTAGCTGAGTGGTATAGCACGTCAGATCAAATGACGGTTCCGTGTAGGACACAGGTTCGATTTCTGTCGGAGGAGATATTTTCTACGAACATTCAGGTCGGTAAATGTAATTAACACTGTTTATTTTAAACAGAGCATTTACTTTAATAATTGTATCTATAGAAATAACGTATAAAGAGAAAATATATTACCAAATGTACATGGCACTAGAGGATTTCACCCGCTGTCTGATGATTCCGAGTCTAGAGAATATCAAACTTTAGTAACCGCGATAAAACACTAAGTGATAAAAAAATGATGTAATTTAAGAAAATATTTTGACATTTTTTTCCAAAGTTAGTTCTGTCAATAGGTATCATTTCTAAAGAAGGATGCTGAGAAAACTATGGACCGAGTTTTAGAGAAAATGCAAAAAAGGAAACTTATACTTAACATCAAAAAGAGACAAATGAACTCCCTTGGTCACATAATGAGGAAAGAAAGCTTGTAAAATTTGGCACTTGCTGAAGGTAAGAGGAACAGGAAAACAACGCACAACACCAACCTAAAGAGCATGTGTAACTGGATAGCAGAACAGGGTTTAGCAGAGATAGCAAAAAGACAAAATTTAATAAGAGCTACAAAGGACAAGAAATTGTGGAGAGCCATGATCGCCAACGTCCTGAAAGGAACACAGCACATAGAAGAAAAAGCGGCCGACCATCGTGTAATTAAAAATAATATTTGGGCTCTGCCATTAGCAATGTTCGATTCTCATTCGATGCTCTGGATTTCAACTTTGTGCCAAACTTAGGCTTAGTAAATACATCGCTGCTCGGTCTCTTTGTGGGACCTGAGATGAAAATCAATCGAAGTCCAGTTCCAGTGGAGCCGTGACCACCCAGGCTATAATCTCCCAATTACATTTAATGCTGACGGGTCAGGGTCAATCTCTGGGACTGTGGTGTCTCAAAAGCCGACGTGCCGAAGGATCAGGACAATTTATTGAAAGATCTGCATGTAGGCTCGGGGCTATACGTTACTTGTGATATTCTGTTAAATCTACCATCATGGGGATAAGTAACTAGTCTTTTCTTAGCAGTTCTTGGAATTCATCACCATCGATTCCATGACCGGATTTGGCCATAGAGTCACTGCGCAAATGAGCAATTGCCCAATTCCCTTCACATATCTCGGTTGGAGGCCGGGGATCTATTTATTTATACAGAGCGTGTTTCAGCAAGTAGACCAGGCGGAGCCCATCCCTCTCCAGGTCAAACCACGGCTGATGTCCTCTAAATTGAATGTTCCCTTTGGTCACGGAAAAGTGGCCGCTGATTCTATAAGGGGAACACTACTTATAGGTAGTTGACTTCATTCTAAGAAGCCCTCCGCCTAGCGATGCTGTGTCATCACCGCACAGCGTTAGATAGACACATGAAACACTAGCACCATTTGTGTACCCAATCAATGCCAGTTTATACACGAAAGTGTTCTCCTACGCCTTTGCCAAGAAAAGAAATCTACACAGTGCTGAAATCTATGGTAACCTGACATGCATATGATATACGCCACTTCTTTCCACGTAATAAGTCTCCAGCAGTGTCCTCTGAGGAGGCACAGTGAAGTAATGGATAGCGGTTTGGATTGAGGAATCGGAGAGCCGAGTTCGAATTCCAGTCGAATCCATTACATTCATTTACGTGAAAGGGAAAGGTGTGAATCCTCTTCTTCCCCCTCCAGCTATGGGTAAATAGCAGGACAGACTGGGTTCTATAGCCTTGGGTGGCAACTGGTCTAGGAGAAGGGAAACTCTGAATTCAAAACCTGCGGAGGGTCGTTTGGGGACCTTGTGGCACGTAGTGCACCAGGTCTCTGTAATCGGCCCTTCAAAAAGTGTGGATGGTCCTGCACGAAACCTTCACCACTATAATCAAATCTCATGTGCTATACATTGCGGGTTGGGGACCGCTTGTGAATTCCAATATTCCCACGAAACTCCAATATTGGAGCCTGTTCAACCCGGGGAGGGGGTTGAATGCCGTTACAAGAACAAAAGAGAGAAGTGTCCACTGACTATTATCTGGAGTGTATTTTTGCCATTCTCTCTCCAGATATAAACTAACATAATAGATTTTGTTTCCTCTTATGAAAATAGCTTTATAATGTTTCTTGAGTTTGCAAAGATGTTTGGTTTCCTCATTGGCATGGAATGTTATTAATGCAGTCTGTAGTTAAACCATTTTGCTTGTAAGGCATCAACCCTTGAAAGAAATTTACGAAAGCATTTTATCTATTTATTTTATAATGTCGATAAACCTTTTGGTTCTGTATCGTCTTGCCTCTTACATCTTGAATGTCATAATAATATCATGTTCTGTTGTTAATGCTGCATAATCAGTAGAGCTATAAAATTATGATCTTTTTATAACACAATGCTTAATGTTGTTTTCTTCATGAATTCTAATGTTTCATTTTAAGGGGAAATGAAAGAATCTTCGCCTCATCTTCTACCGAAGGACCCTCAACAGAGCTGCGTTCTAACTTCGGCAGATAATTACTGTTTTAGAGCAGGTGAGATCGTTTAAAGATATTTATTGATTTGTTTTCACGACTTATCAACCCTTTTTTAAAGCCCGAAAATATTTTTCGATTGTAAGAATTTTTTTAGAAGATAATAATGGTTTAGTGAAATTTCTAGCTTTACATTGTTTTGACCTTGTTATGGCCAGAAATAAAGACACAAATATATTAACAGAAAACAGTAATACAAACATATACAGAAGAGAGTGTTACAGCAAGAATGTTCGGTCCGACTGTCAGAGCTGACTGCTGGAAACTTCCCTCTCCAGAAGGCAGTACCTGCTCCTATTTATAGCTGAGAGAGTCCATGCGTGTGTCGGTAAATTACCATAACATACATTATTACAATTTATTTTTCTCTCTTATATTTTGGGAGCTGGCTCTGATTAGAATATCCAAAAAGTCAAGTAAGCTCTAAATGTTTTTTTGTTTTTTTTTATTATCTGAGACTGAAGGATCTGGTGTTTTGTGACCAGTAGTAAGTGCGCCACTAAGATATTGGGATGACCAAAGACGCATTCCAAAAGCTGGGCAGAGTATTACGAGACAGGAGGTTTTCTTTGGTAGCAAAGAAAAGAATACTGAGCTGTCACGTGACATCTGTCCTTCTTTACGGCAGCGAATGTTGGACGGTCTCCTAAAAGATAAAGAAGAGACTCAAGGCGACGGAGTTTTGGTTCTACAGAAGGATGATGAGGATATTATGGACCGAGCGTGTCAGCAACGATGCGGTTTTGGAGAGGATACTAACAAGGAAAAAGCTTATACTTAACATGAGAAAGAAGCAGATGAAGTTTCTGGGACGCATAATGAGGAAAGAGGGCCTAGAGAATCTGACACTCACGGGTCGAATAGAATGAAAGAGAGACAAGGGAAAACAACGCATGACATACCTGGCGGGATTAAGCAACTGGATGACAGAACGTGGTCTGGAGGAGGTGGCAGAAGGACGACACTTATTGAGAGCCACAAGGGATAGGGGGAAGTGGAGAGCCATGATCGCCTACGTCCTGAAAGGACACGGCACATAAAAAGAAAAAGAAGTTTTTCAAAGCAACCATCACTGCCCAAAAGTATTAAAAAGGAAATGGACAAACAAATAAATGAAAACTTTCAAGATCAAATGTCACTTTTCCAGAAGGTTGTATCATAAGCTTATATAGGTAGAGTCACAGTCAAAATTGTGGGGTTTTTTTATTGATTGATTTGTTTTTACGGCTTATCAACCCTTTGCTGGTTAATTAAAGTCAGAAAATATTTTTTTTAAATTGTAAGAATTTTTTAAAATAATAATGGTTTACTAATGCTAGTTTTACTAATTAACCCATAACTGGGGGAGAAGAGGAGGATTCATACCTTTCCCAAGGGTATTTGCACGTAAGTGAATATAACGAACACAACAGAAATTGGAACTCGGCTCTCCGATTAACAATTCCGAGCCATTATCCATTACACCACCTGCACATCCAAGCTTACAGCATCTGGTATTCTCAAGCGGTCACCCCCTCTAAATACTAATCAGGCTCAATGTTGCTTAATTTTGGAGATCGTACGGGAACCGGTGTTTCAAAGTGATGTGACCTTAAACACCTTTTAGAGAGATATACCAACATTCTGAGAGATATTCATAAATTATGTGAAATTTAGTTCCCGAAATGACCGCAGTGAGTCGTTAGCGTAATAAGACAGAAAAACATTTATAATAGAGAACATCAGGACATATTGAAAATTTCGCTTTCTTGAGACGTAAACCAGAGGAACCATTCGTTGCCGAGCAGTAGAGAAAGTTGCACGTATTCATGTTGCACTATTTGCGGAAAATGAGTGAAAAAACTCAGGAACAGTGGATTGACATCAAGTTTTGCGTCAAGTATGGTTAGTGCTTATAAAACTTTAGCCCCTATTACAAATGGCTTGTGGCGAACACACGATGAAGAAATCGAGAGTTTTCGAATTACCACTTGCAGTGTAAGCAAAGGCGAGAATATATGCATAATGATGGATACTCGAAAAAAAAAACATGTAAAAGTGTTATTGGAATTGCCGAAATGGTTACGAGAATTTGTTCGAGAGGAAAGAACCGAAATCTTGATTCCACAATGACAATGCACCTCATTCGTTAGAAGTTCATGAGTTCCTGGCTAGTAAAAAGAACCCATTGCAAAAGTATACCATCCACTTTATTCAATGGGCTGTGATTTGGAACTATTTCCAAAATTGAGAAATGCTCTGAAAGAATAAAGATTTTCTGTCATCTCTGAGATCCAAAATCACGAAAGTTATTTCGGTACATGAGTTCCAAGAATGTTTCCAGAAATGTCACCATCGTCTCACGAATTACACAGCTTTACGAGGGGAATATTTTGAAGTAACAGCAGCAGTAATGCGCAAGTAATCAGACTTTGCTTTCACAGGGCCATTTCGGGAATTAAATTGACACACCTCTTACATACTGTCATATTTGTGTGTTTGTATCATGTACAATAGTATCCGAAACAAAAATGGGGATGATAAGAGAAATTGGAAAAGCTTTCGCCGACGTCTGTTATTCCGACCTGAAGAAGCTGAACCCAACAGACATCGGGGAAAGGCGTCATTTATATAAGCTTTTCCACTTTGTTTCATTATTTCACCAACTCAAAACCTGCGAAACGAAAACACTCACTATTTACATATTCACCTTTTCAAGTCTAGAATTAGCCTTTATCTTTCCTGCATAGCCCCAAGAACATCACTTCTTACCCTTTTTTTACGCTCATACAACACAACACAGTAACCCTCTACCTAGAGTGGCTCTAGGGCCTTGTATTGGGTGAACATTATTAAAAACAAAAATAAAGTTATATTTATCAGTTCATGTCCATCCTCTCAACATTCTCCCTGATATTTGTTCCAGTTTCCCTTGAAAGATTTATTGTGTTGTATTCTATTGCAGGAGACCGTCGTGTTAATGAACAAATGGGTCTTGCAAGTATCCACACCTTATTCCTTCGTGAACACAACAGAATTGCCCGTCAGTTAAACAATATGGATCTCGGCTGGGACGACGAAAAGATATTCCAGGAAACGAAACGAATAACCACAGCTATCATACAACACATCAACTACAGAGAATTTTTGCCCACGATTCTCAACCGACAATTCATTACCTTCCTCGGTCTAGATGGTCCGTCACAGGGTTTTCATGACGTTTACGATCCAACAGTTGACCCTAGCATCCGGAACGGCTTTTCAACAGCGGCGTTTCGTTTCGGGCACTCTATGGTTCAGTCCCTTTTTACAAAGAGGTCATCTGACATCAACACGGATTTCGGGACCCCGACTTTGTTGAAAACAATGTATGGAAAGACTGACGAGATACTCACGGTACACATATAACTTATTCTGTTTAGTATCTGTCTTTATTTCTGAGATGAGATATAATGTACACTATTTACATCGTCCTCATCTTTGTTGCCATATCTATCACAACGTTTCGGCCGTTGTACGCCCCGGCCTTCTTCAGGTGGTTGGACTGTCGAACTGAACCCTTTATTTCGCTCGCTGGGGTAGACTGTTCTAGTCCCACGTGCCACGTCTAATGGATGTCAGTTATCAGTTATCTCCTGTTAAGTCCCCTCTCCAAGTTCTCCACTGCTTTAACCAGGTGTTGAACTCACAACACTTTGGGTCCTGTTACTCGATCTAATCCACCGTGTCATGTGTCCTTAAGAATAAAGAATGAAAACAAAGAATGAAATAATATATATTTACTTCAAAGAGGTAAATTGAAAAACAAAAAAGGGCAAAAACGGAACCAAAAATTTAACCCTTTTTTATCCTTTGCTCGTCAGGCACTATTGAGTACACAGCGCGTATACAAAATGTACAGAATGAATATTTTTTTTATATCTAATAGAGATCTGATGAGAAAAGAAAGAAAACAAGTTAAGTTTTTATTATTTTTGTCCTTTTGTTTTTCAATTTACCGCTTCACAGTAACCATGACTTTTCCTTTCGTTTGATTTTAATATCCAGATTCAGGGCATTCTCGTTCCTGCTAAAGGAACCCCTTCCTGATTGACCATATCTTTCAATTATATAGCCGTACTCACCACGCTTTGCCAGTTACGGGTAGGTGAGGCTATTTAACCCATGGTTGGAGATTTAAGTTATCCTTCTATTAGACCGGTTGCTACCCAAGTCTATAGGACTCTGTATGCTATTTAACCATAGCTTAGATAAGAAGGATGCATACCTTTCCCAAAGGTATTTGTTCGTAAATGAATTATTTTAATATGGCCGTTTTTATTACGATTATTAAATTTTCTACTCCCAGTGAAGTATCTAAATATATCGACGTAGCATTAGCTTTTACTTTACGTGATCCTCGATTAAACATAATATTACTTTTCCAGAACAAACAAGAATCGGTTGATGCATTTGTTCGGGGTTTACTCGCAGACTCAGCCCAGAAATCCGACCGCTTCATGAGTCCGCAGTTAACAGATCACCTTTTTGAAGACTCTTTCGGTAACAGCCTTGACTTAGCATCTTTTAATATCCAGCGAGGAAGAGACCATGGACTTCCACCTTACAACATTTGGCGCCACTGGTGCGATTTTTCAGTCGCTTCTCATTTTGGGATTGGACCAGGTGGACTTATTGACCACAGTTTCCAGGCTGCCAACCAAATGAAAAGTATCTATGCGTAAGGATTTCTTCTTTCTTTTTTCCTTGAACGTTATTGACTATAGAAGTCATGCAGAGTGAATAAAATTAGGTTATGCCATAAGTAATTTCCGTTTTAGTGGACCAGTTGTAATGACGAAATGTATCTAAGTGCTCATCATACGTGACGATAAAGAATAAATTTGTAATACACTAATACATCTTAGTTTTTGCACGGCAGTAGCAATGTACACAGCGGATTAAAGGAAAAATATAGTTCTCCTGTATAACCGCATACAGCAAAAATAACAAAGATATTTTAGAATTCGGTTGGTTTGTTCTACTTCACCGGCCATATACGCCTAATCTTCCTTCAATCAATATCTTTTCCTGTTGCTGCAAAACGCTTTGATGGGGCAAACATTCTTTTATGAAAACCAGATTCAAGAATTCCTCGAAAAAAGCTTCACGTCCAAAAGAGCTGCCTGATAAGTGACAAGTCATTGCAAATGCCAGTAAATATATAATTGAATAAAATATAATTGTACATCATTTTTTTTTATGAAGAATAATGTCTAAAAAAAACAAAAAACGTAAATCATTTATGACTCCAACCTAAAATAAATGGAAAACTAATTTGGAAGCCATAACTGAATTACTTTGTAAATGAGAAACTCTCAAAATTGACAGCATCTTTTTTCTTTTTTTTTTTTTCCATTTTCCGCCATTTTCAAGTTCGTATGAAAATAAAGATATATAAGACATACTTAAGCTGTTGATATTTTTGTAATCTATAATAAACATTAACTACTGCGAGGAAGTTTCAAATATGTACATGCAATATCCTTAGCGCTATGAATTTCAGAAATTCGTTGACAGCCTTATTTATCAAAACGCAAAAAAATGCAGTAAAATTTCAAGACACTCTGATTTTGAAACTATTACAGATACAGATCTAATATTTGGGATTTATCAATAATTTTAATCACGAACCACTTGTGAATTTCCCCAGGTTTTTCTGAGAGGGTCACTTGTGGCCGTTGGTTGATTTGAGATGGAATGTACATACGGAGGTCAAGGAACTTAAGGCGCAAAATAGCTTCCTTAGAAAAAAAAAAGTGGTACAAAATGAGGGTGTTTATTTCCTAGTCTGGTGAATTCAAGAGATGTGTAAAATATCTGAAAAATCACAGAAAATGCCGATTAACTTGATAAATGAATAGACTGTTCAATGTATATATAAGAAGTAACGGATTTTTTATTTATCAATCCAACAAATTTTTATCACTTTAAACGTTATTTTTAGTCGATACCCATATGCTCAGATTATTTATTTTTGTCTACCAACCTGAATATTTACGGCAAAGCATTCAGCTTTATCAGCAAAGGATGATAACACCTCAAATCGATTGAAGGAGGAATAGAGACCTTGCCCTTATTTAATGCCCTATTAGAGAGACGCTAGTAGTCACGAGAGCTAAGTTTTTTTTTCTCTCAGCTCCTTCGATGAGTCGCTTACATTTATTACGAGGAGTAGCAAATAAGCACCTGTTATGACGAGAGATGTCCTGTTGGTATAGCCGGAAATAGTGGTTCCTGTATGCGATGGCGGCCGAGCATACTGGTGTGAACCATGGATATAATTTCGGTTACATCTGGTATTTCCGAAAAAATATGAAAGTGTCTTGCCATCATCAACCCAAGAAGAGAACTCAGTGACGAAATTTACAATTGTAAGGCTGAATATGTCAAGGCGCGTCACGAAGAAAATCCAGCATTGAGTCCCAACTAGCATGCTGATAATGGATGAGGTTTTATGGCTAAGGGGTTCCTGCTTAATGGATACTTGGAAGGAGATATCAATAGCTACCAAAGAGTGGTCCGAGTTACCAAGAAGATAGTATTGCGAAGCTCGGCAAGAACGAGAAGAGG